ATTCATGATTTCTCGTGCAGCAAAATCTGGATATCTTTAATACGCGATAGGAATTTCAAAGTGAAAATATAAGCTTGAGATTTAATAGTACTAAAGGATCGTGTACAAATTAGCATTACTATTTTTCTGTTATTTTTATAGTAACACTAAAGTCGGTCAAATTTGGAGCAGAATACAAAATTATAGATTGAGAGGACCTTTACTTTGCAGAGCCTTACTCATCGGGATCGATGTAAGTGTGGCGTACTGTCCTGTATTCAATGGATTTAGCCTTATCTGAGGCTCTCTCGATAGAAAAACGTCACCAGGCTCCAATTCTCTATGCAGACGAGTCGAGCCAGTAAGTCTTATAAGCTGATGGTACTGTTGGCTAGACTGGGCTGGGGAGGGTGTGGTAGAATTGGACTCGGATCTGGACCCTATTGACATATTTATGGTTGTTGGAATAGGAGTGTCTGCGGCGACTTCTGTGGTCAAGCTAACCAAAGTGACCTTACCTGGCATAACCATGCATCCATCGGTAGCCAGGCTATTCTCTGGAACTAAAGTGGTTCCTGTTCCGTGTCGTACTGAAAGAGACTGTCGACTGATTGTGTTTTGGCTGGGCGACAAAAGTAACGGGAGTTGGACGGGTGCAGCATGTTGGCTACTGTCATCAGACCAACGTGGCAGTGAGCTAGCCGTCATTAGAAACGGGAGGTATTGGTGGCTATTTGTTGGCATATGGCGTCCACCCTCTACTGATGGCCAGATAGAACTCTTTTCATAAGTTCCGGTTTGTAGTGGAGAAGACAGAGAAGTCAGCGAGTAGCAGTCGGCAAGCGAGAGTCCCGGCGCGGGACTCGAAGCGTTGACAGCGCTCGATTCCTGGTTAGTTCGAAAGCCTCCAGCATTGGCAACTGAGTGTGGTGCAGCATAAACTAGGGTTGTGAGACCGATGGGCACTTTGAGGTTGGCCTCGCCTGCTGAACCGGCCGGATTAGCTTGCAAGAGAATAAGAGGAGTAGATGGAGGCCTATCGATGCCTGTTTGTGGAGATACCGAGGGGGAGAGAGCAGAGAACAAGCACGTTTGAGGGCCACAGGCTGCTGAGTTGATCCGATGCAGATGTTGTGTAGGCGTTTCTATGCTCGAATGGGTACCCAAAACGGTGATGGGATGAGAGATGGTAGAGGTTCCGGATGCTGGATGCATGGAAGCACCCACAATGAGCGAAGATTCTTCATTTTGTACTTGCGTGATAGCAGGAATTGCCTGGCTCGTCGACAATGTCGTAGAAGCTGTTGTGCTAGTCGTGGCGACGGTGGAAGTAGATTTTCTGGATGCTTTTGGAGTAGTTGAGACTTTGGCTTCCGGAACATGGCTGAGAAGGTGAGCTAAATAGCTTAGATTTGGCGGTATTGTCGATACCCAAACAACCTGAAATAAGTGAAACAGGTGAAAAATTGAATTGGAAATAAATTTGAATGTGTTTTTTGTTTAAAAAAGGATTCCTATTCTGGAATTTGTAAAGGATTTAGCTATAAAATAAAATATTTATGTTATGATCCTTGTGAGGATGGTTGGGTCAGGTATGAAAGTTAATTGGTAAAGGAAATACTTAAAACTATCAGAAAGGTACTAGTCTTTATAAAATAGTTTATGGTTTAAGTCATATTACTAAATACTAAATAACCCCCTTAATTTATTCATTTTGAGCTCCCAGTTCTATTGTACTTAAAATTGAGCCGATTTTGCAGCATAGAGCATGTAAATATATCTACCGCAGCTCCCATAACAATTATGAGACGGTGAAATTCACGATTAGGCTTAGATTTTTAACGATAAAAAGGAAAATTTGTCAAAAATCTTATCCGAATCCCATTTCAGATAAAATCAGAGAAAAAAATCTACTTATTTATTTCTTATAA